GTGTCTCTCATAACAGTGCTGAGGAAATTTAGTGTAAGTTTCAGAGTCACTCCTCTCCATCTTTTCTCAGGAATCCCAGTTCAATATTCCAGTTCTTTTCACAACATCTCCCAGACTCTGGAGGTTTTCTTGCAATGGAGACTGTCTCCAGAAGCTGCCCACAGATTTCCCAGGATACCAGACTGATGCTCCCCACAGTAAATCAAACCATCCTCCTTTCTCTTCCTTCCAATATTCTTCCACGATTCCAATGTTTTTCTCTGAAAAACAAAACCAGGTCATAAACCCAGTTGAGCTTTGGACAAAAAAAGTTTCCAAAAGCAGCAAATATAATGCAAGGAAAGTCATTTTGTAACACAGAAAAATACAAGCACAGTTATACAAGTGTTCTTGTTCCAAGAACAATTGTAAGTGGGTTTTGTTTTGATTTGGAAAAAACTCCAATATCTCAGTGTAGTTGCAGCAGACCACACACTGGAAAAATTACATGGTTTTCTGGTGGCTGTATAATAAGAAAGGATTTTTCTCTCAGAGACAGAAAAGGCCTATTCAAGGTTGGAGAGGGAGTGTAGCTCAGAAGAATGAAGAATCAGGAAGCTGAGGAGATAGGTCAGAACTGTGTGAGGCTGATGTGGTCTCACTGTCTGAACAGCTGCCAGGGAATTAGCAAAGACAGCTTCTCCTTTTTCACCAAAACACAGGGGCTAAAAGCAGAAATCCAATAAATAGCAGGTTTAGGGGTTTGCTGTTAGGGTGCTCCATCCCTGGTGTCCAGCTGGAGATAAGAGGTTTTGCAACACAAAGTGGCACAGATAGAAAATAAAGTGGGAGGATAAGCACAGTGGGCTCTGTGCCAAAGGTTTTGTGATGTGCTCACACAGAATCCTGCAGCAAGAGAAGCCATAAATATCTGCAGCATTTATGGAAGAAGATCCACTCCAGGCTGGAGACAAGTGAAGCACTCTCAGAGTCAGTCCCTGAATTCACACTCATGGAATGAGCCCATTGCAGAAGTTGCTTTCCAGGTTATTTTATGCATTTTACTTCACTGGCCAATTTTGGACAGACTCCAATGAGTAGATTTTTTAAAAAACATTCTTTTTACCAATAAAATACAATAAAAGATTTTATAGCCTTGATGTGTTTCTGGCATGGCTCAAAAACTGCTGCTAATAAAACTTTTCCAAGAGGAAAAAATGACCAAGCTGTCACAATGTAAATATGATTATTTTTTTTTTAATTTGGGGTTTTATGCAGGAAACTGGGAAACAACATCACAGGAAAAGATTATGTTAAGAGAAGAAAACCTATGCAAACACAACTTAGAGTGGAGCAGTGTCATGTTCCTGGCAGCCCACGTTCAGTGCAGTTGGAAGGAATTGTGTTTTCATGCACACCAAGGGCTGGCTCCTTCTCACCACTGAGTCAGTGACAATTCACCAAGTGACTTCAGTGCTGCCCTAAAGCAGCAGCCTGGCTGATGAATGTGGCACCAGGCAGGCAGAGCAGAGCTCTGAGCTCAGCCCTGGCCTGATCCGAGCTCGCTGGGTGAGATCCATGCAGCTCCTCCCATGGAGAGAGGGGTGAGCTGTCAGTGTGCTCCCCTGCCAGCTCTCAACAGTCCCAGCCTCTCCTGGCATGCCACAGCCTTTGTTCTTGAGGTGGTTTTAGGTGCAATTATGATTTAACAAGGAATGAGTAATGCCCACCCTTAATCACCACACCTCTGGCACCATTCAGTGCTGTGGTGACTCTGGTTCACTGCCCTACCTGGTTCTGCAGGAGATAAAATGTGCCAAATGCCAAAAAAAGGGATAAAAATGTGTCCTCGGCACCCATGTCCCCTGCAGCAGGAGCTGTGCAAACAGCAGTGCCCTTTGTGTGCAGAAGCTGCAGGATTTTCAAGGATCATCACCTCTGTCCCTGAAAATGTCCCCTCCTGAGGAGCAGGAGGGCAGGCAAGTGGACAGAGAGACCTGCGGGCTGAACAAGGAGCTCCTGGAGATATTCCTGCTCTCATTTCAGTGCATTTTTTACCTCTGAGATCTCTGAGATATCTCTGAGATCTCTCTTCTGAGAGGCTCTGTAAGAACTGCAATGTTGATATTTATTTTACTCGACCAGGCAACATTCTCAGCTATGAAATTGGCCACGCGAGGGCACCAGCACTGCTCAGGAAAAACAAAAAGGCAAAAAAAGACAAAAAAAAAAGACAAAAAAAAGCCTTCCTCTGGCCCCCTCTCCCTCGGCACAGAGAGGTTTTCTCACCTGACAGCAGGTGAGCAGAGGTGGCTGAAATCACATTTTCAGCCCAGCAGTGGTTACCTGGTTTTGTGCCTTTTCAATGGACATGATGGGTGAGAGGGACTGAATGTAACTCCAGAAGTAAAAGAAATTAATTTTAGCTTGAGCTGAACATCCAGACTGGAGAGTTGTTTTTTTCCACAAAGACATCACCATAAGGAATTCCTTTAGAAAGAAAAGGAAAAGCATGTGATTTTTCAAGCCTGCATCTTAATTATCTGATTTTAAATGATGCCATTTAAAAACAAAGCCCTTGGCCTCCCCAAATCTGTCACTGAGTGTGACAGATTTTGTTCCCTGCCAAACACCATCCAGGACACAGACATTTGCACCAAGAGAAAACCACAGAATTCAGAATCCCAGAATGCTCTGAGTTGGAAGGGATATTAAAGATCATCCCATCCCACCCCTGCCATGGCAGGGACACCTTCCACTGTGCCAGGCTGCTCCAGCCCTGTCCAGCCTGGCCTTGGGCACTGCCAGGGATCCAGGGGCAGCCACAGCTTCTGTGCCAGGGCCTCTCCACCCTCACAGTAAAGAATTTCTTCCATATATCTCACCTAAATTTCCCTTTTCATTTTGAACCCATCCTTGGCCCATCACTGCAATTCCTGATGAAAAATATCTACAAAGCCCCTGTTCAAGAGGCAGTCCTGTATGAATGTGTAGATAAGTGCAAAGCTCATTTTGCTTACAAAGGAAAATCCTCATTGCTAACAGATTCCTGTGGTTAAGCTAAAGCTTGTCCTGCAGCATTGGCTGTGGATACAAAAGGATTGTTCCTTTTTGTTGTGACTGTAAGTGAACAAAATGCTGTTTGCAACTAGATGTTTCTCCCGAGGTTTTGTGATAGCCTGGATTAATTCCATGCAATTATTCTGGGCAAGTAAATTTATTCTGAATGCCCTGGTAGGTTTGTGGCAGTTCAGAGGAATCTCCCAGACAGGACACATCTGTTGTGGAGAACACCAGGTAAGGCAGGGATGGGGGAAATGGAAATAACTCCTGCTGCAATCAGGGCAGAAGGGAACTCAGCTGCCAGACAGCAAGGGGGTCAAAAGGGTTTTACAGGAGCATCCTTACAGTCTGAACTTATTAAACCTTTTTGTACTATTTGAAAAGCTGTTTCTTGTACTGCGATTGTAGAGATACATGCCAGAAAACCAGAGCAATGAAGAGTTCCAAAATGCACATATGAATTTGCAAAGTGTTTGATTGAATATTCCACAGCAGATTGTGCATGGATTGTTTTATTCAATACAGAGTGCTGTAAAATCCTGAGGTGTTTTATTGTTCTTTAGGTACTGAAATTATTTCTAATTGTACTACTAAGAATAATCAAGCCAAAAAATGAAAAATAGATTGATTTTGTTGTGATGCCTAACTCCAAACTACAGCACTCTGTAAAACCCCACAGCCCTGCTGCCCTGGGGCAGTGCCTGAGCTGCAGAAACACCACAGAGCCCTGAACATTTCCTGCTCTCCTGGCTCCTTTTCTGGGACTCTTGGTCAGTGCTAATGAGAGGATGAAGGGCAATGCTAAATTTAAATTTACTGACTAAACCAGAGAGCTACTGGCAATGTCTAAGTTAAAATCACATGTATTTGCAACCTTTTATATTCAAAATAAAAGCAATTCTAGAGATCTAGACCTGATTTAAAATGCTTATAGGCTGCTACAAGCTTTTTAAACTCTGTAATCTAAATGCTCCCATTTGGAATGCCGAGGTGGAGATGTTTTTAATCCAGGACTAAAGCCTTCAGTGCTGAAGTGCTTCCATTTTCCCAAGCCAGCTGTGTAGTTCTGGTGTTAATTAGGAGATGATCATTAATAAACAGAGGAACAGGAGGTCTCTGAGGCTGTACATTTATTACATTTCTGAAAAGGGGGTCAGTCCTTTGCCTGTTGTTTTTTGCCACATTTGGGGGTTCATTTTTGTCAGGAGCCAACCATGCAAAGCAGCAAAACATGATTATTTTACATATTTGTTCTGCTTTTCCTCATGGCCCAACCCCATTTTCAGATTGACCAGCAGATGCTCAGGAATGTAAAACATCCTTTGGGGACTGTATCAATTTGGGGAAAACTGCTTTTCTAAAAAGCCCTTCTGAAACTTTATTTAACTCAGCTAAAATGTGTCTAATAATTTAACCTAATGTCACAGTTTAAAATTGATGCTGGGATTGGATAAAAAGGACAGCATCAAGATAAAAGCTGCAATTAATTAAAACTGCAATTATTGCAAGTGTTAATTTTCCTTTTCAACTTCCAGAGGGATTGTTGCCATGACAGGTGGGAAGATGCTACCAGTACAATTGTTGCTTTTTGTCATGGTTAGAGGGTTTTACTTACTGATATTTGTGGGACAGTTTGAAATTCAGAACAAAATAGGTACCAACAAAGAGACCTTTAGAATAAAGCTAAGTAACATTAGGGGAAATACGTGGCTTCTAATAATTATAATTTTGATTAAGGGGATCAATCTTCCCTCATTTTCCCCACCCTGCAGAAGTCGAACTGCTGCTTCCATCAGCCCAAACTTCCAGCCCTCAGTTAGTTCCCATTCAGCAGAGAAAGATCAGCTTTTCCCTTTTGACCGCCCGGATTTGTGGAGCAGCAAGCCCTGACAGAGCTCTGGTGTTTTCCCTGGCAGGGCCAGCTGGTGAGGATGAGGAGGGACGCCCTGAGGTGCTGGGCTGTGCTGGTGGCAGTGATGGCACCGAGCGTGGCCGAGGACTTCCCGTGGACCAAGAACAACCCAGGCTCCTTCTACTACGGCACCTTCCCAGCTGGTACCGCCACGCCCGGCTGCCTTGGAATGTTCTAGAGCTGCTCCTGTGCACAAGGAAGTGACCCAGAGGTTTTCAGGTCCTTCCAGGGAAATGGCAGGAACAGAAATGGAGGTGGCTGCAGGATGCAGAGCATTTGGGAATACAGAGATCCACATGACCCTGCATTCCATAAATCCACTCCAACAGGAAACACAGGGACAGGCTCACAGATAACAGCTCATATCCAAGTGTAACAAGTCACACCTGAGAACTCCTCTCCCTTTTCACAAATCACTTACAACTAATGAAATAAACTAAAATACCCTTTGTTATGCAGCTAATTTAAGAAATCAGCACAATAACTGGGTTTGTTTCAACCCGTTCAGTACTATCCAATCCACTCTTCAGTATGAATTTATGAACCTTATCCTTTTTTGACACATATTTAAACACATTTCAGCCAAGCAAAATCAAAACTAGAAATATACAGGCACTGACTGGTTTTCATACTCAAGTTTTCAAGTCATTTATGATATAGTATTTTGTGTAACAACAGGAAAAAATATCCAGAACATTTCTGAATATTTTACATAACATCTGATCTTGTAGTTGCTAAAAGTACTATGAAAACCAGCAGAGAGAAATGATGTGGAACCCTAATTTGTTTTTTACAGCAAGATTGTTTTTTACAGTAAGATAGTTTTTTACAGTAAGATATTTCAGCACTATCAATGCCCTACCTCATCACTGTAAAGTACAGATTTTACAAATGATGTGGAACCCTAATTTGTTTTTTACAGCAAGATTGTTTTTTACAGTAAGATTGTTTTTTACAGTAAGATATTTCGGCACTATCAGTGCCCTACCTCATCACTGTAAAGTACAGATTTTACAGGTTTAATAAATGAAAGGATGCCATTTCTTTTTCAGTGCATCAGAACAGGCCACCTTCATTTATTCCCCATTTTCAGACCTATTTAGGCACAGACACATTTTGAAATGTGGAAAACCACAGCCTGTCCAGCAGTGCCTCCTTTCCCTTCCAGCTCCTCTCTCCTATGAGCATTCAGCACTGAGGCCAAGCAGCAGGAAGCTGTTCCATAACTGCCCTGTTCTCACCCCCAGGTTTCCTGTGGGGTGTGGGGAGCTCTGCCTACCAGACCGAGGGGGCCTGGGACAGGGATGGCAAAGGGCCGAGCATCTGGGACGCCTTCAGCCACAGCCAGGGCAGGGTGCTCGGGAACGAGACGGGAGATTCTGCCTGCGACGGCTACTACAGAGTCAAGGTACGGCTGGGGGGAACCGCCTGCACCTAAAGGGTATTCAGTTTAGGGATCCAAGTGCTGATATTCTTCATCAGTTCAGTAAAATCTTCTTCCTTTATAATCTCATAGAACCAATCATCCC